GTTTTAATTTAACGGGGAGCTTGTATCTCCTACCACGGCGTTAGTAACCTTCCTACGAGTTTTTCTCAGCAGTAGGCACCAATAAGAGCGGTGCTCTGCACCTCAAAACCCGATGTTAGACACATCTCTGTAGAGTCCAGTGTTTTTCATCCTGAGCAATCACTTTGTTATGAGCCAGATTTGTTTCTGCAAAGCTGACACCCCTCCAGCAAAAAATATTGTTTAAAGATACATGGTGCAGCATTCAGAATTCCATTAGGAGGAAGAGCGAGGAAGCGTAAGGGAAAGGAGTTATATCTGTCCGAGCACCAGCAGGACCACGCAGAGGTACTTCAAACCATCTCCCTCGTGCACTGTGGCTCTCACACCCTATTTGGCCTCTTTCTAGCGACACTTGAGTCACAGTATTTCTTGCCAAAAACCATCCTGCCACACCACGGGTTTGCTCACAACAGTGTGCTGCACAACTATGCTGTTCCTGTGCCCACCAGAACACATGGGGACAGCACCACCCCCAGGGTTGGTCCCAAACTCCAGCTCCCATGCAGCAGAACTGTGCCCAGCCAGCTCAGGCTGCACGTGAGCTGATGCTGCAGGAAGGAGAGCGCAGTCCCCAGATGCCACTTACATCCCCCAATCTTTCCCATCTCAGCAGCTACACTCCTGGAAAAGCCACCGATACCTGTAAATCAAAGAGCAACTTCTACCCAACACACTTACGAGCTCTATCAGGCACTCTGTAAGACACTGGCCCACCTGCTTTTGGGACCTTGCAATCACAAAGAAATCCTTGGATTTCTTGGTTCAGCATGAGGAACAGTGTCAGTAGCAGTAGGTTGGTCTCATTTTTCACAGTCTTGCTTAAACCCACCATCCAACTCAACTAAAGCAAGCACCACTAAGGCACACAGCAGTGGACTCCTAACAGAAAGCACGCAAATCCCACCAGAACCTCTCCACCAGCCCTGGCTAACCGGACCCGAATGCACTCCCTTAACTACCGGCACCCTAAAACACACCCAGATGCTTCCAGATGTTGAGTATTCACTTACCTGCAAGAATCGGTGACTGGTTTTGAGCCCTGCTGCCAACACATGGGGTAAAAAAAGATGGTCCTACCTCTTCCCAGGGCTGGGACCAGTCTCTCTAAGGACACTCACTCCATCCTTCCAGGATGCTGCTACCAGGATACACCCCTGCAGCCATCTATTTCTAGCTGGGTTTCCTCAAGAGACCGCACTGTTCAGTTTAACTTGTTGGCCCTTTTCAGTGAAAGCTGAGAGACACACAAACGCCTCAACACAAAATTCCTAACCAACTTAAAAAAACCTAAAATATCTAGGTGGAAGACAGAGCCGCAGGGTTCCCGCTGAAGGGAAGGCCACGGCACAAAGTTCAATTATTTATTCTTATACACCAGAGAATCCACAGGGAAGAAAGATACCGCGACACGGCTGCGTGGAAAGTTTTGATCATAGCTCATACCTTATTAGACACACACACCTCCCCAAAAATCAGGCTTCAAATGCTCTTCTCAGAGCTATTCATACAAAACCACTGAGAATTCAAGGATGGGTCAGAGCAGTTTGCAGTGAACATGGGGATTCCCCCTCGTTCTGCCCACTCTCAGGCACCATGTGAGGGGCTGGGGTGGGAGAGGGGTAGAACTCAGGGTTATTTCACCATTTTCCCCACATGCTGAACAAATTGTGCCATCTTTGTCTGTTAAAAAATTAATTTATTATCCCCTTCTGGTAAAAAAATGAAAAGCTATATTCTGTTAGACCAGTAAGATACAGAATTACTCCAGCTCTTTGGAGGTTTTTAGATACAACTTCAAAGCACATTATTCCACAAAGGAATAGCAAGTACCTTTCTTAATAAAGGAAACTCTATAATGGGTCAGCCTTTTCCTTTAAGCAGAAGAAGATGTATCCATTACAGGACCCCCTTTCTGTCCAGATGACTCCTGTGAAATACCCCAACATCCTCCAAGTGGCACATACAGAGAGTTTCCTAAGGAAAAATGTGTCTTTAAAAAGTGACTTCAGGAAACAAGTGCAAGTTCCTTTTAAATCTGTTTTATAAGAAGGATACCAATGTACATTTTAATAGTTTTATTTTCATTTTCCCCAAGCGGGAACCAAAGGCAGAGAGGTGTTGTGAGATACATCACGCTGTTCTTATGGGTAAATCAATTTGCAAACGTTATTTTACCACTCTATAAAAACACACACAGGAGTGTGAAGGAAGCAAAGTAGTTCAGAGTGGCTGTCATGGAGCATATATGTTAAATACAATCGGGTTGGTTTTTTTCCCCTAAAAATTGTGGCTCCTTGTGTTCCATAAAACCAAAGTCTTTAGCAGCCACATGCCACAGGAACAGAATTTCAGTGGTAGCTTCCTTTGAGCATGTGCACACAAAAGCGTTAGCAAAGAACTGTCCCATGGGACCGGACCGCAGATGTGAGCGACAAAGCCCCATCCGCAACAGGAAAGAAGATACGTGTTCAGTTTTATTGTCTCAGCTTCCCATCCAAACTCCTGTAAACAGCTTCCACACCATTCAGGCATCTCTGAGAAAAGAGTCTATAGTTCTACAAAAAGAAGTCACGCTGTAAGATCAAGATATTTACCCTGTATGTGTCATGCGAGCGCGAAGAGGAACGACCTTCCAATTTTTCACGAAACATCCAAGCAATCTGTAAGTGACCCAGTTCCTTTCTCTGTCCAACTGTGCTGTGGGAAACCCAGTTAAGTGCCTCTTCACAGGTAGAGACAGTTTGCTTTAAAAAATATTAAGGACACATTTATTTTTTTATCTTTAAGAAATTCCTGGAAAGTTACTGTGGAAAATGAAAGTGCTCCCATGGTGAGACCAATGTGCAAAGCTCTACAGACTTCTCTCCTTGCTGCTTTCTTAGTACTCCTTCCCTTAGCAGATTCATGTTGAGGCTCAAGACACTGCAATGAGGCCATCATCCACCTGTAACAAGCAGGTGGACACTGGAAAATGTTTTATGGTTAATCATAAAACGTGGAATAAGCCAAAAAAGTATTGTTCAGATATGATCAGTGTGGTCTCTTGCGTGGGTTTATATACCAATGGCCTGTAACACTCGCTTTTCATTCTCATTGAGATGGTCTGAAAACATTGCATAGCAGGGCTGCTGCGCAAACTGACAGAGGAAGTCAGTGAGATAGGCCTGGAAGGAAGACAGAAAGACCCAGTTAGCATCACGTCACCTTGGAAATGCAGCTTCTTTCATGTATCAAAAGATAAACCTCAACATGCACCCAGTAAGACAAAGGGATTGCAGGGAAGAGGAGAGCGATGCAGAAGGAAGGGAGGCAGTGGAAGGGGAAGGCTGGTAAAGGGCTTTTCCAGGTGGTGGTAAAAAGCAGGAGCCCAGTGTCATACAGGGGCCATGACTGGATGGGAGCATCTCCCAGTGGAGTATGAAATTCTGTCATGTTCCACCTCCAATCTACTTCTGACTCCAGCAAATAGCTGTGGAGCTCATGGGTAGAAAAGTCTCATCTCCCTCTGCTCAAAAAATTTTTTTCATACACATTTCCAGGTTCTAGATAGCGATCCAATACGGAAAAATAGCTCCGTCATTCCTGGGATACTCCGTACTTTCCAAAATAATTTCAATGAACTGAGTACCTTTGGGACAACAATCAGTACTGGTGTTTACAGTAGTTTGCAGTTTTGTTAAAGTACAACATAGAAAAATTAAGTTTGTAACGAATGATAGGAATCTGATTTAAAAAAAACTCATTCTAGAGCATCACCTGGAGGTCTATTTGGTAAAGAGGGTCCTTTAATGCATCTGGATCGTCCTCTTCATCATCTTCATAGTAATCCTCATCTGTCAGAGGCAAACCAGCACGTTTTAACATCAAACAGAGCAAAACATCTCAGGAAGTATTCTATTAGACTATTGTTGAAATCTGAGGATCCAAAAAGAAACAGTTTCAGCACTGCTGGGTAAAAAAAAAAAAAAATCATTGTGTCCAGAATATTCACTCCTTAAGTTCCCATGATCAGAAAATGCTAAACCTCAGAGCAAGAGGGGTCACAGTGGGAATCTGGAGGAACAGGCAGGAGAGACGAGCACCCACGGGACACTACACAAGCAGGTTGGTTAGTTATGTGCACGATTATCTGACGCCTTAATCTTACGTCAGGGTGACACAGTTCCAATTCCATGCTAATGAAAGTGTCCCCCTTATTGTGCCTGTCTCTTGGGTTCTCCCTTCTACACAAACTGGAGAGCAGAGGAAAGGAGATGATGTACTCGCTGTCTTCTTTAGGCAGCCATTCTCTCTCAAGGTCACTCCACCAACAAGCTCATCCACTTCTACAACACTGTCATTCCAAGGTCACATATACACCTCTGAGCATCAAGTTTCTTTTTAGAAGAAATACCTGCGTGAACCTCACAGAAACATGAAGGCTACACAGCATTTGGACTCTTAGGTGAAAAATGCAGTTATTTAATCACCGTGTCAATCAAAGACATGTCTCTCCCTTACAGGAAAAGGTCCTTATGGAAAATCTCAGTGTAAGATTTCCTGGCCCTTGCCTGCAGCCTCTCTTGAGCTGCTGTCAAGGAAATAAAACTTTGATTAGGATGTCATCTACTCTATTTTCTCCTTGAGTCAGCACTTTAAAGCTGTTACTTACCATACTTGTTTGTGGAAAGAATATCTGATAAGAACTGTCCTGCTAAGCCTTCGTCTTCATCCTCGTCCTCTTCCTGATCCTCCCACATATCATTCAAATCATCTGTTTGGAGAAAAAATAATAATTCTAGAAACAATCAAAATCCAAAGAGGTCCAGTCTGCTGATGACCCTACAGGGGACTAGTTTTTAGGCAAACTTCCCTGCTTGTGTAGGTGGACGAAGGGAAACACCTGCAACCTTTACCACCCTTTTGGAATGAGTGACTCAAGGACTGGAGCTAAGGAAAAAGCAGCAGCAAGAAGAGATGCCTGAAGTAGGGAGGAAGAAAGACAAGGCAGACACACTGAGAAAGGAAATTTCATTGGCATACGGTCAGATCCTATCTTCCAAACTGACCCAAAATCATTTTCAGGTTTCAGAATACACAGCACTGATCTTATCCTTTGGATCACTATGTAAGACTTTGTAACTACAGGTATCCTATTTACTACTGCGAGTTTCTTATGACTATAAATGCTTCCAAAGAGATTACAAAGTAGATTTAAGCCACGCAAAGAGAAAAGACAAACCCAGTGTTTCACCTTGGCTCCAGTCTGCAGTTGTCTGTCTAGATGCATTTGCTTCCATCGCATTAGAGAGTTCATTTATTATTAATTTTAAGATTTTTACTAACAAAGGAATGTTTGTCCAGCGTTCAGGATCTGTAAGAGAAGAAAAATACATATCCACGCTGCTTTTAACAAAGTTGTTAAAACAGGCCTTTTTTTGTTATGGTGATTGGTTTGTTTTCTTTTGTTGTTTGTTTGTTTTTTAATTTTACCACATATTTAAAGTGCTCACATAAAAGCAAAACTTCCAGGTTTTGGAACCAAGTTGATATAAAAGGAAGGAAGTGATACAAAATGCTCAAATGTTCTTCCCATATACGTTCCCAGCTAGATTTCCAAACTGCCGTACCAAACCGCGCATACTCCGAAGGAAGAGAAGGCATGATTGAAATTTCCACCGCTGAATGAATTGGTGAGGCCACTCGATGAACTGAGAGTTACGGACGACTTCACTAAGCATCCTTCTCCGAAGTTACTGCTGCACATCCCGCGGGCGGCCACGGAAACAAGCACTGCAGCACTCCTACGCGTGGCTCTGCCCTTTCTGAGACACCGCAACTCCAACATTTCCTCACTAGGGCTCTTGCAAGGCCTAATTATTCCACAGGAATAGCTAGGCAGTGTTTTTGTTCTTAACTGCAAAAGTAAAGATCTTCTCAAATAAAGAAACTGAGCACTAGTGTTAACTCTTTAGGTGCTCAAATGCTGCAATTACAGTTCCTCCATCTGACTAGTTTGGTTTGTGCTGTTTGGCAGGGTTTTGTAAGCAAAGAATAGTAAGGTAGTAGGTGTTTTGTGACCACTACTTACCTCTTACACTCCTAGCGCTTTCCTCTATTTATTTCCTTTACCAAGTGTTACTTCATCACCCCAAATCCCCCAAGCCTATGATGGCTGAAGGCTCAAGGAGCACCAACTGCCTTGCTGGGCCTCCAGTTTGGATCAGTACAGCCCTTACATCCTATCCCTTGACTGGTTGTGCCCAAACTAGCACAGCAAGTTACAGAACCAAAGTTTTGACTGACCGCTCCCCTCTGGGGCTCAGCCCCCAGAAAAAAAACCTGCCCAGTTCTCGCTCTGATTTAATACACGAATCTCTATACAGTAATCTCCAATCAAAGATTTTGGGTTCAGCCAATTGAAAATAAGACAAGTCTCATGCAGGAGACTGGCCAAGCTTTCCTTAAAAGTGATCTCTAACTGGCTGAAGTCACTGCTAACACTTGTAAAAGTCTGTCTCATCCAAAAAAAAAAAAATCTCTGCATTCACTAAACACACTTTCCTCTCAGAGAAGGTACGAGGCATCATGAAATTATCAGTTCTGCCTCATGAGATGGAACAGGATGACGCAAAATAGCAGTGAATAACCCCCTATCCCATAATCACCTTGTCCACCTATCAAAGACATCAACAGTATTCCAAATCAGTGTTTGGCAAAATTAAGGCAAATAATGGATACGTTAAGTACCTGATGTATGGATTAGCTCTGAAAAAAATAACATGCACCTTCTGTAGGAAATATCTCCCACAGCTTTGTGTCTCCCTTCCATTTTAAGGTCTTTCATAGCATCTACTAACAGGTAAAAAAAACCCAAACTCTTAAAACCAGCAAAATGTTTACGTACTTTTGGCCGACTTTGATCGTGTCCGTATTCCCTCATCCATATTAAATATTTCTTCTCCCTTTACCCGAATGTCCTGAAGTCGCTTGTCATCTGTGTTGATGCCATACTGAAGGAGTTTACACAACGCTACAGAGCTGGGGAGCAGAGAACGGGAAAATCACAGGTCGGCATTC